TTCTTTCTGGAATAGCTGAGGGAGTTCCAGACACTTCAGTTGTGGAGGGTATTCTGAGTTGTGTTGTTTTTCCCAGCCCCCACTGTGTGTAATTGAGTCTCTTGTGTTGTTCAGCCTCTTCTAGTAACACGTTGAGGCCGTGTTTTTGGAAGGTGTCTGTTGATCTTTGTAGCCTTCGGATGTCCCAGGTTCCCTCTATGCTTGGTGTGCCCATGGTGCTTATGATGAATTAGAAGTGTTGTAGGTCTCCCTGGAGCTGGGCCTTTGGCTGAGTTGGTAGCTGGCTTTGTTTATACTCTAAGTACTGTGACCTTTTCTGGCTTCCAAGTCTTTGGGCCTCTGTTGTGGGGGTGGGATCTCCCCCTCCCCACCAGAGTGCAGGGGAGTGCCAGAAGGCTGAAATCCTCCCAGCTGAGCAGGCTGCCAGTCCTCCCTTTGAGCTTTCAGAGCTCTTTTTGTTTAGTCCAAATATTTTCTCCTTGAGCAGTGCCTCCCCCCTGCCTGAGGTCCTTTCACAGAGCCCAGCTGTATCTCTTTAACTCCAGTTAAACTTTTACCACAGTTTTTGTGGGTGGATGTGGTAAGCAGGTAGACCCCTGAGCAAGTCTCCCCCTTTGAGGCACTTCCTAGGGCCTCTCTATGTTGAATGTGCCCATGCAAGATTGTTAAAATTGCTGCATTATCCTAGGGTTGGCCTGTGGTTGGGTCCCGCCTCCCCCACCCCCCAGCAGCTGGTGATCCACTCACCTAGCTGTGTTGTCTCAGTTTATATCCAGGGCTTTGTTGGGGCTGCTGGGGCAAAGGTCAGTAATAGGTCTGGAGTGAATCCTCGGGTCTCCGGTTCTGAGCTGCAGCCTTTTCCCACGATTTGGTTTCCTCTCCCTAGCTGAATTGTCTAAGTTTATCTCCAGGGTTGTAGCAGGGCTGGGACAAAAGGCTGCCGAGCACCCGCAGCTGCTGCCTCAGGCAGTTTCCCTCTGCTGCGCTTCCAGGCGTCTGGGGCGCCTAGATTTTTAAAGGAGCCAAGCAGGTTGGAAGCTGCTGGCGTTCAGATCAGCCTTGCAGGGTTCAGCTAATCCTGCCTGTGCGGTTTCCCTTATGGGAACTCCCCAATCGCTGGTTCTCCCTCGTTTATTTTCCTTCTAGTGAGTCTAGGGCGTTCTCATTTGGCTTAAAACTCGTAGCATGAAAGTCTATAGTCCATTTTTATATAATCCTGTGCGAGTTTGGATGTAGTCATCTGGGCGTCTTTATTCTGCCACCATCTTGCTGGTTCCCGAGCTGGTTGAGCTGATCAGCGTCTTTGCCCGAGGCGCCCAGGTGCTCCGGATGGGGTCGGCAGTCTCAGCGATTTCTCTCTCACCCAGGTATTGAGGATCAGATTTGCAGTCTTTCTGCAGCTGGGCTCCACTAACTGAGCGGAGCCGTCCCTCTTTACCTCCAGGGTTTAGCGTGGGGCAAAGAGGCTCCTGCAGCCCACCAAACTTACAGGCACCCTGGGTTTTTCCAGGAGTTCCCAGAAGGGAACTCCCCAATCACCGATTCCCCCTCAGTTATCTACCTTCTAGTGAGTCCAGGGTGTTTTCATTTGGGCTGAAACTTGCAGTAAGTAAGTCTATAGTCCGTTTTCAGTCCTCAATTCCTATGCAAGCCTGGACGCAGTGATCTCGGCATCTTTACCCTGCCGCCATCTTCTGGAAGTTGCAATGACACATTTTGTAGCTGAGGATGCTGAAATAGATTGGGAGAGTGAGCTTCTATCAAACTGAGGAAGAGACAAGTATGGAACACAGACATTTCAACACTCAGTGCCCAGTGCTTCCTCTCATTGTCTAGTAATTTCTCTCCCTGAGGCCTTGTAACACATATTACATCTGACTTCAGCTCTGTATTTGACAAAACTGACAGATTTGTGGTGTAGATGCTGTACATTTGGGTGAAGTCAAATTGGTGGAAGAGATTCAGAGGGACTGACGGGTAGAACAGTATTAACTTAGATGAGAGGGTGACTGTGGGATGCTGTGCTTGACCTGGTCATTCAGTACTTTTATTGGGTGAAAATATGAAGCTGGAAAAAAATAATAGAATCTTGTTAGTTGATCTGAACAAGGCAGAATAAAGGGACTGAAGGAAGTAAGCTAGGGGCGCAATCTGCGTATCCACCTCAGGGACTCTGAAGTATTGGAGGTGATGGTGGGGGGGGGGTGCTCGTTGCACAGAATCTTGTTTGAGCAAGAGTACCCTTGACTTGTGTAAGAATGCAAAAGGGATGCTGGAGTTGAGAAGCCCTGAGAACGCAAGATTAAATGTTCTTAACCAACAGAAGAGCCAGTCCCCCAGCTCTGGTGGGGGTCATATAGAGGTTGCTGTGTCTCAGAAAGAGACTCACAAGCTGCTTAGTTACCTCTTTTGGGAGCCTGAAGATCAGGGAAGTAAGGTCTCACTCACAGAAGTGTGGGTCTGACTGAGATCAAAGGATGGCTGTCAGAGTACCTCAGGGTTTTGAGTCTGGCATAAACATGTAAAGGACATGGCTGCCACCCTGGACCTAGTAACCCTCCTCCCTCAGATGGAAATAGAATGTACTAATCTATCTTTGATCCCACACTGTCCCCATGTCCTGCTACTCAGAGACAATGAAGAGCTATGAATAGAACCCTTTTGTCAAACTGGGCCTCCGTTTCATATCGTTTTCCAGCTACATGTAACTTTTCCTGCTGTCTTGACCCTGCTACAACTTGGTGGCTCTAGCTAGGTCTTCTGGGTCCCCATCAGTCTTTCCCTTACCAGGCACTGGAGTTCTATCAGCCCCACTTTGACCCTTCTCTCCTCCCCCGTTGCTGTGCACAGGAGGTTATTAGTCTGGTGTAACGTCCCAATTTTCTTCCTTCTCTGATTCCCATATTTGGGGCTCCTCTGAACCCACAGCTACTCTACCCTAAGTTGAACAGACAGAGACTGCAGTAGCAGCCCTCTTCAGGTGTCTCAGGTATCCTGCACTGTGGCTGAGACTACAACAACAGCAGGCCCCTGACTCAGTTCCTAGGTTACGGTGTTCGCTCTTCTCTCTTGGTGTTGTTCCTTGTTTAGCTTCTCCGTTTTGCTGTGGAGACTAAACAGTACTTTGAACCCCAGCTGGTGATGAGTTCATCAGTTGCTGTCAGGCATTCTCTGGACTTAGATGTGTCCCTTTATTCTTGGCATGTACAATGCCTCAAATATCTATTGATGCTGCTCCTGTTTGGAAATGTTTCTGGATTGAGTCATAGCCTAGAAATGTACCCCATGGATGAGATTTGTGGATTTTTACTTGATCTGTGTTTTACATCTTGTACCTAGAATAGCCTAATAGTCCAGGAGACCTACAGTAACCTCAGCACCTTAGTACCTCAGCTGGAGCTCAAGCTATAGTACCTTTGCTTTAATTCACCAACCACGCCCTTCTATCTACTCTAGCTCCCGTAGCATTGCTACCTTGTAGACAGAAGTCACTGCTCCTGGGTCCAGGGGCTCATCACAGCTCGAATGGGATGTATTGAGAGGCATTCATTCTCTCCTCTTCATTTCACTCTCGGGAAGGATGATTTAATAAGCTTCCTGCATTGCTCTAACATCTTACCCTTTCCAAACTAGGCCTTGACTAGTAAAGAAATATGCACAGATTTTATACTAGTATTATGTGGCGAGTATGTGTCTAAGAAGAGAAACTATCTCCTCCCGAGTGAGAAGCTTCGCGGAGGAGCAGCAGCAGAGTCTGTAAGACTGAGTGTGCAGAGGACAGCCTATCTCACCATGTCCTTCCTCTCGGCAGTGACCCGCCATAATCACCTCAAGGACTTCATGCTCGTGGTATCCATTGTGATTGGTGTGGGTGGCTGCTGGTTTGCCTATATCCAGAATCGTTACTCCAAGGAGCACATGAAGAAGATGATGAAGGATCTGGAGGGTTTACACCGAGCTGAGCAGAGCCTGCATGACCTTCAGGAAAGGTAAGGCTCTGCCCCACTTCTCCAGTCCTATGCTGCCAGATCCTGGGAGCCCCCATTTCCTCCTGGATTGTGGGCCACCTGGTCCCTGAGACAGTGCTGACGTGGGTGTCTCGGTTGTGTCATCCTTTCAAAACCGCACCAGGAGCCTACGTTCCTGCCTCTTCTGTTACTCCTCCCAGGCAGGAGCTTATTTCTCGTTTCTACTCTGAGTTTCAGACAGAGAAATATATAATTGTCAGAGGTCTTGAGCTTCCCTGGTTGGATGGCTTGTTAGGGGGTCATTCTATCCTTCGTCCTACCTCTGGACTACTTCCCTTTCCATATAGACATAATTAGTGGTTCTTCCTTGTTCCCTCAAAGAACCCTTACAAATCTGACCTAGTGCCTTTAGTTTTTTATATGAAATCGAAATCTCATACGTCCTCATTTATTGTGTGCCTTTGAGGAAATCCCTTTCCTTTCTAGGACTTACTTCCTCATCAATAATAAGAAGGGGTTGAAATTGAAGAACACCAAGGGCCTGCAAGCCCTGACAGTCTGAGATTCTGTTTAAATAAAACATGTTTTAAAAATTATTGTTTTGCTGTAAAAAGAAGGTACCAGTGAGTGAGTGAGTGAATCTAAGTACTTCCTGACATCTGGGAGCCAGGTCTGTGCTGGGAATTGTAGAAATTTACTGGCTCCTGGGCAACAAAGCTCACTCCTATGAAGAAACAGTGAGCATACACTTAGTGTACTGACTCGGTGCCAGCTTTTGGGATGAGACCTCTAAGGACTGGAAGAGCACAGAGGCAGGAGAGGAGGGATGTGGCCTCAAAGGGTGGCTAGGGAGATATTTGTAGTTAAGGTTGAATGTATAGAGTGGGCCTGGATCCCTGCCACCTTAAGACTCAACTTAGTATAGGACACTGCCTCAGTAAGAGCTGCCCTCTCAGATTCCCTTGCATTGGCTGGCCTTCTAGGGCAAAGGAGTTTTATCTGTGAGCTGATTCCCTGGTTACTTTGCTAGGTCCCTTGTTCTTGGGCCCTTTGCTAACTGGAGTTTAAATGCTAGATAATGCCTATATTCCATCTGTCTGAAAAATATACTGTTTTCATTCCAAAAGGAAAGAATCTAGGTGGGAGACATTCCAAGTCTGGGGATAAAATTAAGCTCCTAGCCCTCCCTGCTTCCCAAGACCTCCAGAGCTAACTGACCATTTCGGGAAACAAGTATACACACAGCCTCAGAGACACACTTTCTACACACATGCACCATAGAGCCTGCCCTGACAGTGTCTAGAGACCAGATGCTACCTTGTCCCTCTTTAACAGGCCTCATCGCCAGCTACCACAGAGCTTGTTTTTACAGAATTCCTGTTCCTGATAGTTTAGGTGAATAAATGAATGTTCTATGTGCATTCCAGTTAGGATTTCACTGGGTCTCAAGGTAATTCTTTGGGGCAGGCAGGAATTTTGATTCTCATTTAGAAATGAAGAAACAGATTGAGTACAGGGAAAGACTTGTCTACACCCACACACTTAGAGGCAGGGCATGTAGTTAGGTTTCCTACTTTCTTGTATAGCTAATTGATTGCTCTCTTCAAGATGCTCAGTCTTCTGTGAAGGAGATAGGGTGAGGCAGACTTGAATGTACATTTATTTCCTCATTTCTGTGTCCAGTAGTACTTATGGATCTCTGTCTTTAGTAGTTTCTGTAAAAGTGATCATTCAAGCCAGACTATACAGAGAAGGCATTCTGAAGAGGCTGCATTTAGAAAGGGCAATATTTCAATGAAGAATTGATTCCCTAAAAGTAAACGACAACTATTCAACAAAGAAGAAGAAGAAAAAAAGAAAAGAATGAGGCTTTAATGGTGTAATTTCAGGAGGTTGGGTCATGGAGGATACAATAAAGGAGGATATTAAGCAAAGGAAGGAGATGGGAGCGGGAAATGGCGCCTAATTTTTTTTAGCTATGCATCTACCGCCATCTAGCGTATATCTTGAGGAGGTTCAGCTCTCTTTCTGTCCAGGCACTAAGTTATGTTTCTAGAAGACTTCAGTTTGTCTCCAGCAAGCTTTCTTACTCTTCATTCCCTCCTTGTCCTGATATATCTTTGAAGCTTCAAGTCACTGACAGATATAGAGTTGGCATTTTTTTTTATAGATTCAGAACTCTTTCTGCCTTTTCTGTTTTACCTGCTTAGTTAAGCCTCTCTGAGTTCTTACTCTGTAGCCTCTGCTTTCTTGTCTATACCTCAAATCTAAGCTATATGTCACTGGTCTCCCACATAATCACTTTCCCCTCCTGTTCTGGTCCCTAATACCTTGGTGGTTCCTACTACAGTAGGGGCACCTGACTGTGGCTAAGTCTATTGTCTCTTCCAGAGGGATCAGTAAACTCTATTCTGGGCCTCTCCCTGCCTTACCTTCTCCACTCCTTTCACCCAGGGATGATCATTCCATCTTTTGGATTCATTCAGGATCTTCATTTTAGAACTTTCTACATTGTGTATAATTATCCATTTATTTGTTGGTTTTGGACTTGATAATGAATTCCTCAGTGGCTGGGGCTGATTTCTTTTTCATATCCACATATTGGGGGACAAGTCCTATGCTTAGGACTTGGCATTTAGTGGACCTCTGAAAGTACTTAGGGAGTGAATGGATAAATAGATCTATGGATGAATTAACATAGATATATGGACGAAAGAGGGCTGGGAGGAAGGTTTTTGTCAGTAAGTAGAGGGAAGGTATGGGTGTGAACAAGGGCTTATTTTCATTGCAACTCTGACAGATATTTTAAAAAGGAACCACACTTTGGGGCAGCAGGGGCTCTCCCGTTGATATGCATTTCACTTTGTGCTTCTGGGAATAGGTATTCAGGAGTCAGAGAAGTTAAGCTCAATTACTCTTTTTTCATCTTCCTTAAATCTCTCCTGTATCACCAGCCCAGTCATCTCTCAGCCATTAGACTTTCTCAGGATCTTTTCTAGCTTGCAGGGTATTCAATACTTATTAAGCCTTCTAGGTATGCTCAGTATAAGGGAATAAATGTAGAATTCGAAGTTAAGCAGATTGGAACTCTAGTTTCAATTCTGCCTGCCAGTTGCTTCCCTTTTCTAAGTTCTCTTATTCACATTTGTCCAGGACTGACTGTATTGCAATATGTCATTATCTGTGGGGAGAACAAATGTGAAATACTGATAATACTTTAGAGGAACTGTTTACATACCAGGAATCTAACTTCATTACCTAGATTACTGGAAACAAAACCAAAGGCCATCCTGAGAAATGGTAATGGTAATAACCATGGTTTCTGCTAGCCATGAGCTAACTCATAGCCAGTCAGCAGAGTAGGGAGACTATATGCTGAATCCTGGAGCCCTCATTTTCCTCTTCAATGCCATGACTTATGGCGTGTTGGCTGGCACCCCTTACCTGGCCTCCTCCAGTTCCCTGCATCGCCCCCCAGGCTGCACAAGGCCCAGGAGGAGCACCGCACGGTGGAGGTGGAAAAGGTACATCTGGAGAAGAAGCTTCGAGACGAGATCAACGTTGCCAAGCAGGAAGCCCAGCGGCTGAAGGAGTTGCGGGAGGGTACTGAGAATGAGCGGAGCCGCCAAAAGTATGCTGAGGAGGAGTTGGAACAGGTAGGAGAGTGTCCCACTGGGCACACCAAGTGGGGAAGGGTAAAGGGCAAGGACCAAAAGTTGGGCTGGAAAATTTTGTGTGTGAAGACTTTGAAATCTGGCTCAGAGAATATTTTGTGTGTGTGTGTGTGTGTGTGTGTGTGTGTGTTTTCAGACTTTTTTTTTTAGAATGTACATCATTTTGTACATTCTTTTTTTCCATCTCAATTGTGATCCCCATGGGTTTCCCATCACCAAGTCACCCATGTGCCATCACCATAATCCCATGCACTTCCCTCCCCACCCCACCCCCCGTTTTTGATCCCATCCCCCACTCCACCCCCACAAAATGTCTGTTCATTATTCTCAAAGAATATTTTTAAGACACCTGACTCTGACCAGTAAGAGTAGTAGGGAAGTTGAGAAAAACTCACTGTGATTTTCAGAGAACAGTGGATAACAGTGATAAAAGCTATTTGTCAATTTTTTCATTGAACTATTTATGGAGAGTAAATGTACAAACCGTAAGTATATAGCTGGCAAGATTATGCATATGCATGTAATTGTGCAGCGACCATCCAGATAAAGATATAGACTCTTTTAAGTACCCCAAAGACTCACTTTCACCTTCCACTGCTCATCCTCATGTTCCATCCCAAAGGTATCAATCTAAGGTCACAACATCTAAACCAGGTTACTTTCACCTGATTTGAAACCCTCATATAAATGGCATTATACAGAATATATTATTTCACATTCCTCCTTCAACATAATGCCTACAATAGTTCCTTTCACTTGGAAACCTCTTCTCATTTAAAAAATTAGGCTGTCTTTTTTTTTTTTAAAGATTTATCTATTTGTGCATACATAAATAGATAAATGGGGTACAGGCCAGAGGTTCAGGGGCAGTGAGAGGCTTCACCAGAGACAGAGTTGGGAGCAGAACAGGCAGATCTACGAAGTACACTGCTGAGGGGAGCAGCGGGCGGGTCAGGAGAGGTCTGCCACGCCATGTGGTCACCTCTGGGGCAGGCGGGAATCGAACTCATGTGGAAGTGGCTTTAGCTTCTTAGTGCTGTGCTTTAACCTGCTGCACCACCAGGGAGGGCCCCTAGGCTGTCTTTTTAAAGATTGATTTGTAAGATTTCTTCATATAGTCTAGATGTATTTTTTTTGTCAATATATTTATATACATTCATATTGCAAATATTTTCTTCCAGCCTGTGGCTTGTTTTTTTTCTGTCCTCATCTTGTCTTATAATGAACCAAAGTCCTTGAGTTTGATGAATCAAAGTTCTTGAGTTTAATGAAGTCCAGTTTAAGTGCTCTTGCTTTCTTTTAACTGTTTGTGTTTTTGTACTTGTTTAAAAATTCTTCATTTAACCCTAAGATCTCTTCCTAATTTCTTTCTTTCTTCTTCTTCTTCTTTTTTTTTTGTTGAAAATATCATTGTTTTACTTTGCACATTGAGGGGTATGGTTTATTTCAAATTAGTTTTTATGATGATATGAGATAGGAAGCAAGATTCTTTTTTTCTCAGGTAGCTACTCAATCACACAGTCATTCATACTGTCTCTACTCGTGGTCTAAATATTTATCTGTCCTTACCCAACATTGTCTTAATAGCTATCTGGTAGTGTGAAATTCTCCAGCTTTTTTTCTTATTCTAGATGACCTCCTGGGCAGGCGGGAATCGAACTCATGTGGAAGTGGCTTTAGCTTCTCAGTGCTGTGCTTTAGCCTGCTGCGCCACCAGGGAGGGTTAAAGCACTGCACTGAGAAGCTAAAGCCACTTCCACATATTGCCTCTGCTCCATTCTCTTTTCTCCTTGGGGGAATCTGGCATTTATATTAGACTTCTTGACTGACTATATAGACAGATAATTATGCTCAGTTCTATTCTTTCTTTCTTCCTCTCTGTGTTTTGGTCTGATTGTTTTCTATTGATTTGTTTTTGAGTTTCCTAATCCTGTATTTTGCTAGGAACTTTGTGCTTTTTATATTACTAGTGGAATCCTGCTTTTAGACAATGTATTTTAGTTCTAGAATGCCCATTTTACTCTTATAGATCCTATTTCCATCTCATTTTAATTCATATTTTCATCTATTATGCTTATCTTTTATTATATTTTCTTTCAATCATAGTTATTTCACAGTTCTTGTCTGCTAACTCTAGCATCTGGACCATTGATTCCACTCCTTATTTTCCCAAATCTTCTAATCACTATAATTTATTTTTATTAAATACTGGGCAGTGTATGTAAAAACAATTGAGGCCCCAGATGGTTTTCTCTTCTATCATATGTAGGGCTCCAGCTCCAGTTCTTTTCTTCTGTAGGGTGAGTAAGGATCTGATCATCTCAGGCCACTCAGAGACTGATCTATGTTAGAACTGGATTGTAGTTTTAGTAAGGTCTGATCTAGCTCTCATTTGTCCCAGTTTCTTAGACCTGCCCCTTCCTTCCTTTTTATTGAGAGTTGGTGGATTTCTTTTTTTTCCAACCCTGAAAGACATTTTTGCCACGTGGTGGAGATTTTGAATTTAGTGTTAACCTCCTGCTTCTTGTAGCCTCTAAATTTTGCAGATATCTAGAAGGGAATACAGACTATGTTTGAGGCAGGTCCTTTTTCCTCACCATATTTTGTCTTCTAGGCATTATGAAATTATGGGAGAGTATATTCTACTTTTTAGCCTAGCTATCTATTATTCCGCCCTGTACCAAAACTCAGCAAATAGCCAATAAAGAAAACTGAATGTATGTGTGGAAGCCTTCCCTCTCCAGTCACACCAGTAGTACCCTGCTGCCAACAAAAGCTAGATTGGTCCCTCTGTGCCCCAGTGGAGTCCTGCTCCAGGGAAGGAAATGGCTGATAGTTAGTTGTCAATTCATCTTAGAAAGGCTCTTTGGATTTTTAATTCCTCTAGTCCAGTGGGTTGCAAACTTTTAGTCTCAGGGCCCTTTTACTCTTGAAAATTATCTAGGACCTCAAAGAACATTGTTATATAGACAATAGAATAGTAGAAATGAACATAGAAAAATTTTTTTTTTTTAAGATTTATTTATTTATTCATACAGAACTGGGGTACAGGCCAGAGGCTCAGGGGCGGTGAGAGGCTTCACCAGAGACAGAGTGGGGAGCAGAACAGGCAGATCGACGAAGTACACTGCGAAGTACACTGCTGAGGGGAGCAGCGGGCGGGTCAGGAGAGGTCTGGCTCGCCATGTGGTCTCCTCCGGGGCAGGCGGCAGGCGGGAATCGAACTCATGTGGAAGTGGCTTCAGATTCTCAGTGCTGTGCTTTAACCCGCTGCGCCACCAGGGAGGGCCGAACATAGAAAATTTTTAAATATTAATTTAAAATAAGTATACTAACCCTTTACATTTTATTTATTTATTTTAAGATTTATTTATTTATGCCTACAGAACTGGGGTATAGGCCAGAGGTGTAGGGGCAGTGAGAGGAGTCACCAGAAACAGAGTGGGGAGCAGAACAGGCCAACTGACTAAGTGCACTGCTGAAGGGAGCAGCGGGTAGGTCAGGAGACATCTGCTGTGCCATGTGGGTCACCTCCGGGGCGGGAATTGAACTCCTGCTGAAGTGGCTTTAGCTTCTCAGTGCTGTGCTTTAACCTGCTGCACCACCAGGGAGGGGGAGGGCCCCCCTTTGCACTTAATACTAGTTATGTTTTTATGAGAAACGACTGCATTTTCCCAAAATAAAAATGAATTAATGAGAGTAACAATTTTTTAAACAATTTTTCAAATAATTTATATATCAGACTTAATAGTTTGCTTGAGTTTATCCTATTAGTGTCTACATTCAGTCTGTTGTGTTTTGCAAATCATGTAACCTCTGGAAAACTCCACAGTTCAGTTGTGAGAGAGAGTGGAAAAGGTAAATATTGTCTTAGTATTACCTTTGAAAAATTTCAGTTATGATTGGTTCTTCAAAATTCCCATAACTAAGGCAGCTTCTTCCAGATATTGTGTTGGACCAGAATTCTTATTGCATGACCTCTGTTGCACCTTGTGGGAGAGTAGCAGTAAGGTGGCAACACTTTAAAATACAAGGATCTGCTGGTTATTAACTTGGCTGTATATTGGAATTTCTTAGAGAACTTAAAAATGTTTGTTGACATCCAGGGTAACAATCAGAATCTGGGTCAGAGTCCAGATACCAGTATTTTTAAAGTTCCCCAGTGACTTCAGTGTGTGACAAGGTTGAGAACCACAACAAAGAGGAGAACAAGACCAGCGGACTTTGACTTGGCACCTGCCTTTGTCTGTTGTTGTCTTTAGGCATCTGTGACTTGGTGTGGCAGGGAGTGTCTGTCTTGTTTCTTGACTCCTACCTCCCCATCCTCTGTTCCTATTTTGTAGTTATTTCTCTCATTATAGTTTTTGAGCCTGTTTGGTCAGTCCTTGTGTATGCCTCTCCAACTGTTATTCTTCCTTCTTGTTCTCCTTAATGACATTTAATGTAGAATTTGGTCATACATTGACAGGCTCTAAAGTACCTACTCTTCATTTTAAATCTGTCAGACCAGAAGTGGGTCATGGTATAGCTTCTTTTTTAAGGAACAAAAAAAAAAAAAAACAAAAAAAAACAAATGAAGTTTGGTCTTCTCACTGACTCTTTAAGAGTGCTATCCTGTGCTTAGCAAAGGCCCACCTGGTCGCTTTGAGGCTATAGAGAAGGCTTCAGGCCTGTAGGGATGCTTGCCCCACTGACTGAAGCTATACATATTGAACTGCTGTCAATTCCTTTTTCTCTGGGATTCTGAGCAACAAAGGTTAATATCTAAATGGGGTGGTTGGGGTTCACTTACACTGGTAACCTGGGTAACATAGCAAGGAATTCAGTATATAATGTCTGATATCCTTGATGAGAAGTTAGTGAGGAGATTTATTTATTGGTTCTTTCATGTGTTGGCATCTGTTGGCAATACCTATGAGGTGTAAGTCTACTTGTTTCCTCATCTTGTGGTGAATACCCTTCAAAGCTGTGCTCTCTGCTTAATGTGAGAATCATGGTCAGAGTGTCAGAGGGGATGGACCACTTCACATTCCTCCCATGATGGGGAGCTCACTCTCTCCTGGGACTACCCCTTCATATATGGTCTGGATTTGCAAGGAAGAAAATCTGACCTCATACTGAATTTAAATCTGCTATCGGAAGCAAAGGGTCACATAAGCAGTCAAGTGACTGGCCAGGGGCTAGGACCAGGTTTCCAGGCTGTCAGTTAAGTGTTTTGGAGATCCAAGCATGGACCACAACTCTCAGGAAGAAAATGGTTCATTGAGCTGACTTGTGCATCCAGAGCAAAGGGACAATTGCTGAAACTGGCTGTGTGACCAAAAGAAGCAGCTAATATGTGGGGGGAAAAGTGCTGTAGTCTAGCATTGAAAACTCGGATCAACATTGCTGACTGTTTGACCCAGAGTGTATTTTGTTTTCCTTCTCTGAGTTTACTTGTATGCAAAATACAGAGAATAATCCTTGCCCCTCTCTTGGGACAGTCATAAAACTCACAGGAGATAGCAGATAACAACTCTGAGGTATCATACAGAGGCTCGGAGAGTCATAGTCATTGTAAATGGTCCACAACCTCTTGGCTGCACAGGTTCGGGAGGCCTTGAGGAAAGCAGAGAAGGAGCTGGAATCCCACAGTTCGTGGTATGCTCCAGAGGCCCTTCAGAAGTGGCTGCAGCTGACACATGAGGTGGAGGTACAGTACTACAACATCAAGAAGCAAAATGCCGAGAAACAGCTGCTGGTGGCCAAGGAGGGGGTGAGTGCTGCCTTCTGCTACTGCTTTTCTCTCCCTTGTTCTGTTTCCTTTCATTTGCCCATTGTCCTCCTCTCTCCCTCTCCTTAGCCCACCTGTTGGACAAAGATAGCTGGTGCTGGCTTCTCTTTCTACCAAGAGATGGCTCCTGATAATATCCAGCCTTTGGAGGAGGGAATGAGGGAGTGGGGGCCCTTCATCTGCCTCTGGAGGAGATGAAACAAGTCAAGTAGGGTAGAGGGAAAGCTTTGCCGGCTTTGGACTTCTATGGGCACAGTCCTCCTGGGGTTGGGGTACTGTCAGGGCATCCCTTTGCTTCCCTCACTTCGCTTATTTTCTTTCTTCCCCTAGTCTTCCCCCTTCCCTTCTCCTCTTTTCCCCTTTCCTTCCCACTCTTCTCTTGTGCAGCCTCAGCTGTGCTAGGAGGAAGTTAGATGAGCCACAGGAAAGCATTTCTCATTTTCCCAACTTTTAATCTATGCTCTTTTTAACTGAGGGCCTCATCTTTACAGGCTGAGAAGATAAAAAAGAAGAGAAACACACTCTTTGGCACTTTCCATGTGGCTCATAGCTCCTCCCTGGATGATGTGGATCACAAAATCCTCACAGCTAAGTAAGTAGCTAAGTAAGTTGCCCTGCTGTGGTGATGCCATCTAACCTCAGAGTTGGGGTATAGCGGTCCCCCAAACCTGGTGATACTTCAGCTCTGGTCTCTCCTCTTGTAGTTATTATTGACACATATTCCCTGCGTCCCCCCTCACCACCCCTCCCCCCGCTTGCTCCCCTGAGAAGAGGCTTCATTCCTACGGGGCCCCCACCCAGCCCAGGCTTGCGTTTCTCTTCCGTGTTCTTAGGCAAGCTCTGAGTGAGGTGACGGCAGCACTGCGGGAGCGCCTGCACCGCTGGCAACAGATTGAGATCCTCTGTGGCTTCCAGATTGTCAATAACCCCGGCATCCACTCACTGGTGGCTGCCCTCAACATAGACCCCAGCTGGATGGGCAGCACACGCCCCAACCCTGCCCACTTCATCATGACCGACGATGTGGACGACATGGATGAGGAGATTGTGTCACCCTTGTCCATGCAATGTAGGTGGCTGGTGGGAGGGTGGGGGTGGGGGTCCGGGAAGGGGAAGGTCTCTGCTGTGGTCAGCAGACGGGGCAGATACCAAGGAAGACAGTCCATTTGTGAGCTTGGTCAGTAACACACAACTGTGTGTAGTCCTTTTGGCTGTTTTTCCTTGCTATGTGCTCTCTCTGCCCTCTGGGTCTATTGTATCGTGTACCCTTTACTCTTTGTTGTTCTTAAAAAATACTTTATCTTCTTTTTTCCCTCTTACCTATCTTTATAAAAATAATCTCTTTTAGGGGTTCATATTGTAAAAGTGGTATTCACTTTGAGTATCTGTTTTTTGTTTTATGTCCCTTATTCTTAATTGCTAGATAAATGGAATGACATCTCTCTCTCTTTCTCTCTCTCTTTCTCTCTCCCCTTTTTGTGTGAGGCTCCATAAGGCAATAGTCCCTTAAAGTGATACAGCTATAAACCCTTCAAACGGGAAAGACATACTTATACAGGAGGAACCTCCTGCACAAGCATGTCTGACTTTCTCCCTGAACTCTCAGTCCTTCCCACCCTCTGTCCTGAACCTCCCCTTTCCCTTTCCTCCTTGTGAGTGATGACAGCTGAGTGGAGTGGAGTGAAAAGAGACAATATTCATTGAGTGCTCTTTAGTGAATGAGGAAACAGATCCCTCTATGGCCCAGCTGAAATTTTTGTGGGTGACAGAGGTATTTTAGATACATAGAAAAGACCCTTGTAGAAACTTTGTTTTTCTGGGTTCATTTCCTACAAGGACAGAAAGCTGGGGCCCGACAAGCTTAGGACCACTGGGGGGCGCAGGTTGACCTTGGCGTTTTGATAGACAGTTCCTCTGTTCTCCAGGTCAGGAGGGATCTCTGTTAGCTCTGAACTGCCCGCCTCTTGCCCCGCCCCCGCCCCCCCATCCCAGGGATGGTAGGCTGAAGCCCTCCATAAAGCAGGTTCTCTTCTCCTTTTGGCCTGGCTGTTGGACCCCAGATGCTGCCTGGCTGATGGGGCGTAGGTTCAGTGACCGCTCTCTCTGCTCCACATCCGCCGGCTCGGATGATCAGTCCCTCTGGAAATACCCGGGTTTGAGGAGCTCCTCTGGGGCTTTTATTTTTCCAACTTTTGGGACTAAACCAACACTCCTAGCTCACGGGCCCCTTCTCCTGCCTGCCTTACACCCCTGCCTGCTCCCTCCATTTCCTTAGCACTGTCCCTACTAACTGCAGGGAAGGGTCCGGGGGTGAGAAGAATCAGCCTGTTCTGCTAAGGGCTTGAGAGAGAATCCCCATGATGAGGAAGGGCTTAGACTTTCCTTCCTTTCTGCCTAGTTAGATGTTTTGTTGCCCTTTCTTCCAGCTGGGCTGGGTCAGAAAGGGGGAAAGCAAGAGCCTCTCCCTCTTTTCTCTTTTTCATGTTTCTCCCTTCTCCTTCCATTCCCTGTTCCATGATTCTGCTTCCTCTTCAGCCTGCCTTCTATGCCTTGAAAGCCACCAGCCACAGATGCCCTGGCTCCTCTGTTCTCCATCACTGTAGAACTGTCTCTTTCCCTGGTGGCCCTTCTAAGGCCTTTCTCACCCTTGTAATCTGGCCTTTCACCCACTTTTAAGGAGAAGACAGAGCAGCTCATCTATGAGGTTAGAGTAGAAAAAGACTAAGGCATGAGTTCTGTTTCAGCGGGGGGTGGGCGGGAGCCCAAGGGGAATGCAGTAGGACATTCCTAAGTCACGTGCCCAGTCCTGATGGGCAAGGTGACCACTGTCTCCCAAGACCCTGACTTGTAGCATGTATTCAAGAGCTGGTTCTTTATTGTTTATGTGCTTCTTAAAGGAAAATTAAAAAGAGAGCAAACATAAACATAAAGCATTCAGAGTCCCACTATATTGGAGCACCCTCTCCTAGTCTTTTGTCTGTGCTCAAGATGAGAATCACTACCGTTTACTAGTGTCATGAATGGTGTTGG